CCATGTCATCCTAGCAAAACTGGTAGAGGTGCTCAGAGAGGCTAGCGTGGATGGAGATCTTATACATTGGGTGATCTCATTTCTATCTGACCGGCGAGTCACTCTTGTGATTGATGGACACGTGAGAAAGGAAGTACCGATAAGCTCTGGGTTACCTCAGGGCTCTCCGGTGTCACCCATTCTCTTTGTTCTATACGTTCATGGGCTATCAAGAGCCATTGAGAGGAGTGTGCCAGAGGTTCGATGTCTGTCCTTTGTGGATGACCAAGGCCTAGTAACAGCCGCAAGCTCAGTGAAGGAGGCTTGTAGGATCCTCGAGAAAGCCGCGGAAGTAGCCATCGAGTGGGGGGTGGCTAACGGGGTACAATTTGATCGCAAAAAGACTGAAGCCGCTTTCTTTTATAGACGACACAGACGTCAAGTGGCCCAAAACGTATCTCGAGCCCGGATCAGGGTTGGAGGCGAGTTGGCAACTGTCAAATCTACAGTACGGTGGCTAGGGATACTCCTAGATAACCAACTTACATGGAAGAGCCACTACAACGCTCGAATTAAGACAGCAAGAAATACGATAATCAGGTTAAACTCACTCTGCAGAGCTAATGGGTTACCTCCAGCATTAGTGAGGCGCATACAGAAGGCTACAGTGCAAGCCCAATTGCTATGGGGTGCCGAGATATGGTGGCAAGGCCAGAAAACATGGGCACAAAGGATCCAGATTCTGATCAATAAGCAAGCCAGAGGTATTACGGGCATGTTCCCAAAAACCCCAATCGGAGCCCTAATCAGAGAGGCAGCGTTAGAGCCAGCGACAGTCTTACTGGACGCTAGAGTAGCTCGATACACAGCGAGGCTACTAGCTCTGCCTGACACGCATCCTACAGCGCAGATACTTCCAGTCACCCTCAGACATGGTGACCTCCGCGCACAACCTGGAGAGCAACCACTGGACGACCGCGAATGGGCCTCTAGAGACAATCGGATGCCGAATCGACTAGGTCAAAGGCTTGCAAAGCACCTCGCTCAACGGTTAAACAGAGACCCCTCTGGGGGAATCGAAAGAACTGAACGATGCGAGCTTAAAAGCTTCCCAGGCTCGATCCGAGTCCTTGACAATGAAGAGGCCCTAACGGAGGCTAATCAACAGCGCCTTGGAACGACGTTTTGGTCCGATGGCTCCAGACTCGATACAGGACGTGCCGGAGCCGGTGTCGCTTTACAAGCTATACCTGGAGGCCCCTGGGAACACGTAGAGGTGCCAATGGGCCACGGACACGAGGTGTTTGACGCGGAACTAATGGGAGTAGCTACAGCACTTGAATGGGCACTTGAGAGGCAACCTCTCGGTCCTATCTGGATACTCCTTGACGCGCAGAATGCTATTGATCGCCTCAAGTCAGCAAGACCAGGCCCTGGGCAAGCCCTTGTTCTTAGGGCTCACAGGGCAGTGGAGAAGCTAGCTATGAGAGGTCAGCCAGTAACAATACAATGGGTTCCAGGCCACTCAGGAGTGGTAGGGAATGAACAGGCTGATCAAGCTGCTAAACGTGCAGCTAGTAAACAAACCGCGCCCGGTTTTGAGCACCTGTCTCTAGCGTACGTTAGAAGGGCTTGCACGGAAGCAAGAAGAGCTGCAGTATCTGAATGGGCTCGAGTCGAATCAACGCTGTACGAGGCAGGCATAGAGATGGACGTGTCTACAAGATGCCTCGAGGCTGGAACCTTGACCCAGTGGCGGGAAAAGCCCCAAAAAGACTGGCTAGTCGGTACTACCAGCTGAAGACAGGACATGCCCCAATCGGCACCTATCTACACCGGATAGGCCGACGGGAATCGCCCGAGTGTCAGGCATGCAAGGAGCCTCATGAGACAGTGAGGCATGTGCTTTTTGAATGCCGAGGACGCCGTACAGGACGGAGGGCTCTATATCGAGCCCTCGAGAAAGCTGGAGTGCCGCTACCTACAGCGGCTGAGGAAAGCCCCGAGGCTAGGCTATTTGCTGAGCCTAGAGCGACGCAGGGTTTGCTGCAATTTGTGGCTGAAGCTAACCTGTTTAATGATAATGAGCGGACAGCCAGAGAGGCTGAGTCTAGTGATGTGTGGGGATGGGATACGTTGGAGGAAGGTGGCCTAGGTGCCACACTGGAGGATGGGTAGAGATAAGGGCACACTAGTCAGGGTTTGCACGGACTAGGCGTGCCCACGGGTTTGGAACTATAAGGGATCTCCGGAAGGATTAGCCTAGGGAGAGTGCCCAAAGGTCCCTGGCATATCGGCGATATGGGGACGAGATAGTGATTTTTGAATTCTTGCATGTATGATTCTGATAGGGGTGGCCGATAGGGCGTCACCAAGACTTCCAGTGGTCTGTCATAGCCAGTAGGGCTGGGTACGGACAATAAACTTGATTAATAATAATAATAATAATTTTCCATGCACACATGAAATCCATTTCTCTCGTATATCTTCCTCTTATTTCTCTAATTGATGGGTATCACCAATGAGTCAACCGAAAGCGTGGGCCACACCTTTGTGCGGTCAAAATCGTGGCTTCGTGCATGCAACTGAGTGTGTGTCTATGGTAGCATGTCCCTGGTGCGGTCAAGCAAACCCTAATAAAGGGAATGAAGAGAACCAGTCTCAAACTACTACCACATTTAAGGACTCTGCTTCTAAAAGCCGAGAACTCCGACAGAAAGCCATCGTAACTGCGAAGAAGTTCTTGCCCGGACGAAACAATATTGGATCATCGCTTCCATCAGCAGAAAAGGAAAACTTGACAAAGCCACCATCATCATATAGTCTGTTTGTTACTCTTTGGAAGCCCCAGGATGACGAAGCCCCTTGGTTCAATGGTAAATGGCTAAATGTTGGTATGTTAACGGCAGGGTAATGGATAACTATCTTATTTACTAACACTGCTGTTCAGATAACTTCACTATCTTATTATCTGAATCCGATGTCTTTACAATCAATACTATTAACCAATTGGTCCACGAGCTCGAACCTGGATGTAGGGAGCTACGCCAACTAGTCCAATCCAAATTTCAGTATACCGCTCGACTTGCATCGACAGCATCCGAAAAAAAGGCAGAATTCTTATCGGATACAGTACTTCGAGAAGGATTCAACAATATGCTTCTAAATCTAGAGATAGACACAAGGAAGAAACGAGAAGCCAGCGGTCCCCAGTACAAATTGCATATTTGTTTTGGAAAATATCCCGAATCACAAAGCGATGGAGAGTGTACAGTCAACATCAGTGATAACATCCCGGATGATGATATCAACTATTATACCGATAACACCGACCATATTTTCACTTCACTCGATTTCGATTCTCAATCCGATGCATTAAAACGAAGACGTGCTTCATCGGCTTCCTCATTTCCAGTGTCTAAGCCAAAGAAGATCCAAACACAATATGAAACTAGCGCCGATCCCATCATCAAGAAAGAGAAGGAACCACTTGGAACTACACATACTCGAGTTGATTATGAGATAATCAGTATCTCTAGTAGTGATGAAGAAGCAACACCTAATGATGATGATGAGGCAAAACTCAGTGAGGCATTCCGTCTTTTTAAGAAGGTACTGAGACAGACGAAGAAGAAATCAAGTTTAGCAGAAGGTCAGGACAAAAAATTGAAAGTTAAGCATGAGCTAGGGGGGGAAGCCAATCTATCAGATATCCCAGTGGAGGAAGCCAATCTATCAGAAGAGCCAGCGGAGGAAGCTAATCTATTAGAAGAGCCAGTGGAGGAAGTCAATCTATTCGAAGAGCTAGCAGAGGAAGCTAATGTACCAAAGCTATCAAATTTAGCACAGGATGGACCAGCATCTAACACTCGGAGGCGGCATGGCAAGTCATTCCCTAAGAAACATCTCCTATAGTTCTATATTACAAAGTGTTTAGACTCTTTTGTTTTTAAATCTTACCTAGATTTTATATTCCGCAGTTTAATATCTATTCTTCAAAGATCGCTTCATTTAGTTGCCTCATTTTCAATATATACATCTCCACTACCTCGAGAACCATGGTTGATTTGTTAAATCAGTAGCAACCTCTTTTAGATCCTGTTGCAATTGTAGTTCCTCTTGGGTCGGCTTCTCACATTCCTTGAGCTGGGGTTCTG